GAAATGAAAACTCTCGGAGCCTATTGGTTTCCCAGGTCCAAAAGCGGGGTCCAGGAGCTGTGAAGCTTCTTCTCCAGGGCGCCCTTCTCTCATGCTGGCTGGCCGGAGGCTGGGCGGGACGGGATAGCGTGCTGCCCCCATTGACCCTTTGCCGCGCTCCCGCTTGTGTAAGGACCTGCAATAAGAGGCGAGGCCCGCCGCCCGCCCCGCGCGCGGACCGGTCCGCCGCCGGTGCCGGTGGTATGGCCGGGCGGAGACTGACCCCGCCGCTGACCCCACCTCCTCGGGGGACCCCGCCGCCGCCGGGAGACAACGCACGCGGCAGCAGCACGGCACACCGCCGCTATCGGGTCGGGAGGCTGTTGCGCGCAAGTGTAGCAGCGTGTTGCAGCGGCACGCGCGCATGCGGCGGGGGAAGGCCCGCGCCGCGTGGGGAAACTCCTACTTGTGTACGGGTTATTTGGACATATCACATGTCATGTACGCGTACGCGTTCATAAAATAAAATTCTTATGCGATTTGTCGTCATACGACGAGTCATGTCTTGCAGCAAGCACATACTGGATGAATATAAGGTGTTCAACCCCCTCACACTGCTACTTAAAGTTCCTTGAATTAGACGTGTGGGCTGTATGGGAAGTGTTCAACCGGAGCGGTTAGACTGAACACTTTAAAGTGCACAACCAGTAGTTGAACACACAAAAGTGTGTGGAAGACTTTCATCACTATGAATCAGTGCACCCCAGAGAGTGTGATATCCGATGCGAGCAATTACTCAGAGAGGTTTGCAATATTATTCAAAGCCAGACTCATTGTATTGTTTGTCGAGTTAGATAAAGTGTGTCAGTGTTGCGCACGGACGTTTGGTTGCTTCCCACGCCCCCTCCGCTTGCGCTGCTGCCGCTGCGCACGGCCGCGCTGCTGGACGCCGCGGCGAGGAGCCCTGCATTGTGCAAGGGGTCGCCGCCGGGCTGCTATAGGCTGCTGGCGCTGCTGCCGCCGGCCCTTGGGCTGGCCCGCGCGGTCCTGGTCAAGCCCGCGGGCCCGCGGGGTGGGCCATACTTTGATATTCCATGTGCACACTAAAAAATATTATAAAATATTAGAGATATTCCAAAAATATTTCAGACTTTCCACCAAAAATATTTCTGATATTCCAAGAATATTCCCAACATTCCAAAAGTGATCCAAATATTTCAAAAATATTTCAAAAACATTCCATGGAAATTCCTTGTACATCAAAAAGTCCGAGTGTTCTACCCCTTGCCCCCACCCTCCGCCCACTCGCCCGCCACGTGTCGCCAAATCTTGCCATCGCCTCCGATAAGAGTGATAAGCCCCCCTTTGGTTTATGATCTTTGGCCGCGGGTCCAAGCGGATTGGAAGGTGTCTAAGGACCGCGACAACTGTATCTAGCCGGCTTGTCACGGGCACTCGAATGGAGACAGCCACTTGAGTCACTGCAGCTGCCGCTGCCCATCCTCCCTACCAATGTTTTTCTTCTTTTTTTTCTGTTCATGCCTCAGCTCTTGTTTTTGCAGCTTTGCAACAAACAATTTTTAAAGCCCTTTCCTCAGCCGTTTTGTTGCATTTCCAACCCGCCCAATAATTAGTATTTATTGCTAACCGCATTGTTTTCTCACTCATCGTCCCTCCAGAACTCGGCTGGTGAACCACGCCTACTCCAAGTACTTCGCCGACCAGACCTACTACCGCGTGTCCAACCTGGACGGGCGCATCGAGAACGCGGACCACCGGCTGACGGACGACATCACGGCCTTCACGTCCTCGGTGGCGCACCTGTACTCGCACCTCACCAAGCCGCTGTTCGACTGCGCGCTCATCGGGCTGGCCCTGGCTCAGTCCAGTCGGCGCATGGGCGCCAACATCATTCCGGGTAAGAGAGAAGATTTTTTAAAAAATCCACACACATTAAAAAAACACAATTTAAAACAGCAAACAGGTGATGAGAAAGCAGTGTGCCGAAAGCGAAAAAGGAACTTGCGACCGGCCCCCCTCCCCCTTTTCTTTTTCAACCACCTTCCCGGTTAACCAAAATTTTTTGTTTGATTTACACAATCGCACGTTCCTATTTTATGGTACACTGGACGCACCGCGGTCCGCGGATTTCTTGCATCGGGAAGAACACACGAGAGCGAACATGTGATGATGGTAATCACAGCTGCTGCTGCTGCTCCGTCTCGATGATGCCCGATGTTTTGTTATTCTCGCCTCCCCCGTCCCCCCCTTCCCCTTTCCCCTTTTTTCACCCCTCCCTTTCCTTTCTTATTTTCATCTGCGGCACTTCCCCTCCCCTCCCCCTTTCCTTTCCCCTTCCGCGGCTGTGCCGGACTTTGTCCCCCCCGGTAGCCAAGTACTCTGCACGATAAGCACGTTCTGGTGGCCGAAGCCCCGCCCCGCCTCATCTTTTGTATTGGCCTCTCACTAGCACCGCGTAAAGAAGCAGCAGCGTTTATCCGAGTCAGGCAGCCGGATCAAACGCTGTTAATCGTATATCACACGCGATATGTATCATACGACCCATCTCTCGTCCTGCGGCGTGGCGTGGCGTGGGCGGCTTCCGCAGCGCGCACCGGAAGCTGCTGCACGCCATGCGACGGCGGAGGCGGCGGCGGGCGGACCGGAGCGCCGGGGAAGGGCCGGGTAGGCTAGCCCGCTGCACGCGCCTGTCATGCAGGACACAAGTACCGACGATAGATGGTAATTGTACCAAAATTCTCCTCTGGGTTCTAATGGGAAAAAAGTTCTAGCACTGGCATTTTAATGCAATGCGTCAATATCGTTCATGGTGAAAAAAAAAGGCCTGTAATAATTTGTGGGTGGAGGCAAGCGAGGTCAGAGCAAGCAAAATCGTCCAGATAAATAGCTAATAGCAACCATCGGTTCGCTCAGGCAGTACCATAAAATATTCACATGGTTGTGAGAACAAAGAACAGATACTTTTCCACATATAGTGGATTGTTGTCGTGAACATATTTTCGGGTACCCCCTGAGCCATATAGCTTATCATTTTTTGGAGTGCTTGCACTTGTGTTTCTGTTTCCACAGTAGGGACTAAAGGCCTCTTTGGTTTCCATTATAACGGTTTCTCGGTGAGCATTATCTGAACCAGGGGCCTTTATCGCTTTTGCAGTGTGTCTGACTGGGCTGGCGGTGGCGCGCGTTACCGCGGACGGGACGGCCGCCGCATGAGCCGGGCGGAAGTCATACCGCAACTGAAAGTGCGGTGGCGGCGGGCAGGGCCGGCACCGGTACTCTAAATGTGCAGGTTGTTCTCCGTCTCTCTCGCTCGCTCTCTTTGTCTCTCTCTCGCTCTCGTACATAAGTCACATTTGGTTTAAGCGGCTGCGCGACCACCCCGTCGCGCGGGAAGTCCCACGCCGTATCGGATTAGTCCCGGCCACACACACACACATTCACACACAATCCCAATCAATGCGTAGACCGCATACGTGATTGTACCCGATGTGTATGTCGAGCGTGAGAGTGTCGTCTGCTAGCCCAGACTATAATTGTTGCCACCCTGTGGTGGCTGCTTATGAGTCACTGACGGGCCTCCCGCGTACAGGTATCTCCTACATGTATGCAGCACATACCACTCTAAATGGGCAGGGACAATTTTTTTTGTACCTATAGGTTGGATGTGTCCTTGTGCACATCAGATACAAATTTGTATCGGGAGGTATACCAAAGTTGTACCAAGGCTAGGCACAAATGTATTGTTTTGTATGCAACGTAGATACAAATTTGTAGTTGATTCACTCTCATCCTGTAACTGATTTTTTTCACCCCTTGTCAGTATTCCTGCTGCATAAAAACCTTTAGAAGCTATACTAATAAATGAATCAGTACAGGTCTGCGAGTGTTAAGATGTGCACAGACACATCTAGTCTACGCACAAACCTAGCCATGCATACATAGTGAGTCGTGTGTAGCGGTCCTTGCACCGGCTGTCGCATTTTCAAAGAGTAAAACAACGATAGGCTTTGCAATCTCCGGTGGGACCGCGAAACGACGGTATACATCGGCGGGTACATCGGGCACATTTAGGCCGGCGCTGCAGGGGGCGCTGATAGCGGCCTTGCGCCGCTTATCTCTGAGGTCGTCCCGTGTGTGTTCGGCCCGTAGATAGGACCGGCTAAAAGTCAAGCACACCGGCCTGACGCGGCGCGTCACCTCCGCGTGTGGCAGGTGTACCCATGCAGGACGTGCGACCGCGGGGCGGGGGGTGCCGTGGTGGGTGTGGGTGACGTGCGAATGACACCCGCTTCGCACTCGCGCGCACTTCCAGGCAGCCAGCATGGCGGGTCTTTCTCCCCACTTTGCTTGGACCCGCGAACAAAACTGCGCGAGCGGCTCAATAGGGAGCTATGGCCGCAGAGATGGCGTCCTATAGGAACTCGGCCGAGTCGTCGCGGAGGGGGAAAGATGCCCACTATAACGCCCCGTGAAACACACAAACGCGACCCACACGTCAGGTGGTGTATCGGGGGTATAGGCAATCGGATAATCCTATGTTATTGGGCCCCCACGGTGTAGGTCAACGCGGCACTCAATAAACGTGTTAAGCATTCAGAAAGACTCGCAGAGTTTGAAGCCGTGGTCATGTACAATTTTCACATAGTTATGCACGACGTGTTGTGCATGACTACATGGCTGCTTAAAATACTGCATGTTTAGTGTGTGCACTACTCACACGTCAAGGGTGCCGCTTTTGTTATCCTCATGCGCAATTTTACCAATAGGTTAAGGAAGGACAGTGCTTTTTGGCGGTTCCAGAATTATAGAGGGTGAATGTTCAATTTTCACACCCACAAATCGCATTCATTAATGACGATCCCTCCTTGCGCGGTCTTTTTCAAAGTGCCCATTCCCCATCCGTCATATAGTGGACACGCGAGGAAGGGACGCGTAGCACACGTGGCGGGGAAAAAAAGAAGAAAAAGAAAAAAACACGGAAAGGACTACGTGTGTTTATGAGCAACGAGTGTCGCTCAAGTAGGAAAGACAGGAACGCAGACGGGTCCTGCAGGCGCCGGCAGGCGCGGCTCCACGCGGCGCCACGCTCCACGTGCGACGTAAGTTTAATTTTTTTCAAATATTTTTTTTTTTCATT